TAAGAGGGAGGCTAAGAAAACTTTGCTGTCTCTCTCCTGCCCCCAGCAGCGCCCCATTCCTGAACAGTATTTCTTAAGAAGAGAGTCTCTTGCAAAATCACATCAAGAAGACCTCCATTACTTGGCAGTTCCAGCTCAATATTCCACAGATGCAGCTTTTTCTCCTGAGATGAGAGCTGTGTAATTTGGCACATGTGTGACCCTTGACTAGGCAACATCCTCCCCTGCCTGGGAGAGGCCTATTTGGGGTCAGCCTCTAATCCACTGTCTGCAGAAGCTATTCATCCGCCATAAATGAATAGGTCCGAGGAGACCGAAGAGACTAACGGAAAGAACCCTGCAGTAATAGAACCAAACACTCATTTGTCATGTTGGAGCAGAGCGGTGTGACAGGCTGCTGCTGCTAACACTAATCCCCCCGTGTATTACAGTCATGCACCGCGGCACAGATAAGAAAGTCGAGCTCCGAAGAAGAGGATGCGAACCTCCCCCTTGTCACTGCAGAGTCTGATGGGCAAAAGCAAAACATATTTGTTAACAATGATGATTTTTTCTTTAACTGCACGAGTCAACAGTTTTGAACAACGTCAAATGCTGCCAAGTTCTAACAGTCAGGGCATTGCAGAAGTCAGTGCAAAGGAAGCACCTTACTGGCCGAAGTTTATCAAAAGTACATTCCAGTGTCAGAGCACCGCCAAAAAAAGCACTCCGGGGAAGCCAGTTATAAGTGTGTTGAACTGCTGCACAGGAAGGGAGATGATGGAGTGAAAATCTTTTCTAAATAAACACTTGTTAAAAGTGCCTTTCCTGTAATTGAACACAGCCAGACTATATATTAAAAGAAGGAAAGAGAGGAATTATGGGTAAATGAGAATAATCTTTGCTGACATAAGTTAGCAGAGTTATTCATTTCCTTATTTACCACGGAGTGTAGGGAGGTTGGTCTAGTGGATAGGAACTCAAGAGATCTGGGTTCAGGTCCCCACTCGGACACACATCTCTGGTGTGACTTCCTTGGACAAGGAACTTTAATCTGCCTTGGGCTTCTATTCCCCATCTCTGAATTAAGGCTGACACTTTAACTCATAAGGCTGTTGTGTAGATAAAATACATTAATAATTATGACGCATTCAAGTACCACGATAGGCGCCCAAGGTAGGGAGATGTCTAGCATGGAAGGCTGGGTTCCATTTCCAGGGCTCAGCACTTACTTCTGCATGTTCATTTATGCATTGGCACACCCACCTGTTTATTTGAATGATTCCAGTAAGGATTAATGACTGTTTAATGAGGTGTATGGCAGTCCATGCAGATGCATGCTTGCGAGGGAGGAAATCATATTTGTAATTTGTGCAAACACAGGGCCCTTCGCGAAGCCCCCTTTTTGTAGAGGAGCTTAAGGCTGACCTGTATTGACAGCGAAGTGTGCTAAAGGATGCGGGGCGGTAGAATTGTGTAGGTAGCTGACTTAAGCAATACACATGAGGAGCTTGGAAACCCAGGCTCTGGGGTTGCCAAGTACTCGAGTGATATTGTCAGGCACGTGAGTGAATGGGAATTCAGTAAGAGGGACTGAAGCACATCTCTCCAAAAGTGCGTTTTTTGACCTGCATTAAGTCATAGATAAAACATGTTGGATAAGGTCCCAGCAGTTTATAAACTAAGAAAGAAGTTTAAAAATAGCCCTGGCTCTGTTGACTTTCTTGTCACAGAATAAGGGAAAAATAGGGCTGGAAGGGGCCTTGGGAGGTCATCTAGTCCAGTTGTTGTTCCCCCTTCCTCACCACCCCAGTTCAAGGTGGGCCCATCCCTATATAAATCACTTGGAAACTTCTAATGAAGGAGATTCCACAACTTCTTCTTTCCTTTCTCTTTTTACATTGTTTCCACTGGCCAGATTAACTGCTACTATTCTTTCAGTCAAGTCAGTCCCAAGGCTGCAGCGATCATTGGGGCACCTTAGATGCTGTAACAACCCACCTCCACTTCAATTAGGTTAGTTGAGTTGCTTTGTATCATTGATGATTCTTTGGGCAGAGTGAGCTGGTGGTGCCCATCTCTTCCTGGTACAGATGGCCGTTGGCTTGCAAGGGAGCTCATCTACCCTTTAACAAGTCTTGTTTTTAGTCCTGCTGGGTGTCCACATGTCCTTCTCACCCAGGCTAGCCTGGGGCGGGTGCTGGTTTAGTCGCCAACAGCCCAACCGTGGTTTACTGGTTTACATGGTACCAAGAGAGGCCTGGCCTGACAAGGACTATTTTTTCATTCTTTAAAAATTATCTCCCTTCTTCCCCCCTGATCCTCCACTTATTTTTTTTAAATCCATTTGAGCTCCTGTTAACTCTTACAAGCCAGATTCTGATACCCTTTCCACCCTACCTGTGGCTCTTTCCATTAGTGTGGCTTTCGGCAGCATTACACCTGCTGCTTTGGCTTCCCACCCACTGCCCCCACCAGGTCTGCGGTGGTGATTTTCCATCTCTCCTCTCTCTTGGATTTGGTTCTCTCTCCTCTGTCCCTCAGCACACATCCTCAGAGTTGTGTGTATCCTACTTCTCAGCCCTGCCACTTCTCACCATTTCAGCATGAGTCACGCAGTTGTAAGTGTTTTTTGGAAAGCTGCTAGTACCTGTAGTGACTGTGTTGGCCATTGATAGTTTGCAGGGTAAGTCCAAAGGGAACAACATACTTTGACTTGATGACATCTACAGCCTGATTTACTGAAGTAAATTTTGGATCTCTGCTGCGGTAAGAGGCAGGGCCATAAGCAATGTTGTGTTCCCATATTCACAGGGAGAGGCCCAGTATTTCAGGCCTCAAGTTGGGCTGATCAAGGCTTAGGTCTCTGCTCTCCTGCAGACTCCCTATGTGGCCCTGGGCAAGTCAGTTTGCTGCTCTGGTCCCCACCCAGGGGAAGAAAGGAAAAATACATTAAGAATTTGTAAGGCACCTAGGTATTGTGGTGATGGGGCCATATAACTACCTAACAAAGATGCAGTGATTGCAAGGAGAGTTTTGATACAAACTAGACATTGAGATACACCACTAATCTCTGAACCTTTTTCTGTGCTTAGTTTGGGTGGGATTCCTTATCTTTCTTATGCTACTCGCTTCACTTTCACCTCTCTAGGACCCGGGCCTAATCAGCAGCACTTATGAAGCGGGAATGTGAAACATTAGTCAAGGGAGGCTGGGTGGAGGTTGCTGGTCAGATTGCTGTAACCTCACATCCCTGAGCAGCTAGCAAAAGGATGGGTGGAAAGATTAATATTTCCCACTTGTGATGGCTGGAATGCTCATGGAGAGATTAGACACAACAGCATTTGGATTATTCGTTTAATTGTACTCATTTTATTTCCCACCCATTCATTTTTCTGGCTCCTCCTGTTTATCTTTCCAGCCTTCATTTCCCCATATTGATATGACCGTGGAGTACAAATTTCTTGGGGAGAAAGTGCTGACTTTTTAGGCACATTAGATGGTATCTGGACTATAAAGGAAAAATCTGACTGAGCAAAAGGGGTGGTTGGGAAGAGTCAGTTAGCCAAGACATGAGTGACAAATTTCTTTTCACATTTAGTAGAGACATAGGAACCAAGCAAATTAATCTGTGCGTCTGCCTTACTGCAAACAAATAAATAAAACCTGAAGGATTTTTCCCATCTGTCTGTATATATTGTCATTATCACTATTATTTTTACTCTCGTAAAAGGAGGACAGGGAAAATATTAGCTGCATTACAGCTTTTTACTATTTTCCCAAAAAATCCTCCATAAAAAAACAAACAAACCATTCCAAAACAAAAAATCGCTCTCTGATGCTGTTATTTATTATTCATTTATCTGTCTGATTTTTGCCATGTTGGATAATAAATGTATGCAACAGCTCAGTACAACGAACAGATGCCAATGCATAAAACAGGATATCCAATGTTGTTGATCAAAGCGACCAGCTGTCAGTGACTAATGCAAAGACCATAGAATTGGCTGCACTCAGTCTCCTTGTTCAGTGGGAAAAGAAACTGGATCAGTGTGTATGGGCCCACAAACAACTTGCCATGGGGTGAAACAGGATGTTAGCTACTCTGTGATAACTGCTTTGGGTGTACACTCTTCAGTCTTGATAAATGTGTGGCAGCTTACCATGCTTTGAACTCTTACCGGAGAGTGAGAGAGTTCACGCAGGCAGCTTCAGTGCACTAGCTGACATGCTACAGGCATACCCCTTCACATACCTTCTGCAAATGTATTCATGTGCCTACACACTGGGACTTTGCATCAGGTCTCTTTTCCTTAATTGTAACAATGTAGCTAGAATTTTGTGCATTTTAGTCGGGGCCTTCTAGAAGTACACCTTATCACACTAACAATCTTTTATAGGTAAAATTAGCTTCTATTTCTTTAGGCTGTCAACTCAAATTCAGAGGTGGTGTCTTAGGAGAATGGTTTTCAAGCTTTTTTTTTTATTTGTGGACCCCTTTGGAAATTTCAAATGGAGGTGGGGACTCCATTGAATTGTAAGTGTGAGTATTCACATGCTTTTGATTGATTGTAATTGGCTTTCATGGACCCCTTAGACAGTCTGCAGACCGCTGAGGGTCCACAGACCACAGGTTGAAAACCATGGCTTTAAGACAAGGGGTAAGGTGGGGTGCTAGATTTTGCTTACAGTAGGTCTGGTCCTGAGTCTTTACTCTGGATTGCATCTGATTGATTTCCTGGGGAGGATTGCCTGAGAAACAGGAAAGTCTCTCAAAGGATGTACTCTGTGAAGAATGTGGACTTCAGCAGCTGTTCAGTGTATTGGGGGATTCACTGTATTATTTCTAAAGAGCTCCAAGAGTCTGATCTCGCACCCACTGAAGTCAGTAAGAGGTTTGTTATTGATATTAATATGTGCAGAATCAGACTCCCAATGCACTTGCAGTATGCTTGTAATTTTGTTCTAAATATCTAGAGTGCTAGTAATTCATTTATTTCGATTCCCTTATGTGTCCTCAGAAACCTTGATGGATACCCGGACGGCTACAGCTGAGCTAGGCTGGACTGCGAATCCTTCTTCAGGGGTAAGTGGATGTCAAAAAATTCTTGTCTTTTTTTGCACATTTATCACGTTACAGGTTTTATGCTCATTTTCCTGAAATGCTGATATGACTCTCAAGCCTTTTTTTTTTCTTGGCAAGAGCTGCCTTTGGTCCACAACAAAAATACTCGTGGAACTGCATCAGCAAAAAGGGATTTCTCTGTCTTTACACAAAACTAGGGAAAATCCCCAAATTTTGCATATTTTGTTCTGAATGTAAAAGAAATTGCATTCCCTTGTCCAAGCATCTGATGACCTGTGAATCCTAAGGTGAATTCCCCCAGTTATGCACCTCAGTGTGATGTGGCCAGGATTACCCCAATTGCCCCTCCTGATACCCAAACCCATTTTGGGGGAATGACTCCCTGACGGAAAGTTGTTGTATCTGCTGTGCCTCTCCTGCTGTAAACCCACTACAGATTCTTTGCCATCATGCACACGCACGCAGTGGGGGCAGGTAGGACATTCCTGGCATGTTTTCAGTCAGCTGCAAAGCAGTGATCTTCACCCACTTCTGAGAATTGGCTTTGTGGAACATGCTTTTGCTCTGCACGGCTGTTTTGCCTACTCACTCTCAGATGGCACCAGCCCCCACTGGTCCCACATTCTGATGACACACAGCATGTGGCCAGGAAGAGGTTATCTTTCAAAAAACAGCCGCACAGTGGAAGAGGATTTTATTTTATTTGTATGTATATATTTATTATTTTTCTGTAGAACCTAATGCTGAGAGTTGTGGCATTGCAATGCACTTGGCAAAGCAGTGAGTCAGATTCTGCTGGTGTACTAACCATGTAGAAACCACACAGCAGTGAGCGTGTGGCTCACGTATAGTTTATGAGCATCAGAATCTGTTTTACTGTGGGAGGGAAGGTTGACTCATAAACAGGGAAAAATGCAGGACGGGGGCTGGAGAAATGGGGAGAAGATGAGAAAAAAATGCATTGTGAGGGACTAGGGGGTAGAGAGAGAACATGGAGCGCACGAGGACAGTGGGCTGGAAATTGTGCCCCTGTAGCCTTTTACCCTTTGCCAGGAGCCAAGAAGATGGAGCGGGATTCCCAGCAAGTAAGCGTAACAGAAGGCTGCTGTAGATAAAAGAAACTGGTGGCATTGGGTCAAAAACCAAAGCATAATGGCTCCAGAAATCTTCAACTATCATCATCTGCAGAGGAGGGAGATTTCTCAAGAGAAGAAGTAAAAAAGGAGCATCTACACATGACTGCCTGATGGTGCAAAAATAGAAAAAAAATCCCATAGTTTCTTCTTCTAGTTCCTGAGCGGTGTTGTGAGACGCTTCAGATCTGAGGGACGCAAGGTCTTCCAAGACTTGGGCCTTGGTAGCAAAGAGAAAAAGCTTTATATGAGAGGTTGCCTTCTCTCTCTTTATCCTTGCTTTCCAACAGAAATGATATCAAATCTGAGTCTGCATATCCAGCAAAGCCTAGGAGGTCTATAATAGCTATAAAAACAAAGCAGTCTTCTCAGTGATATCGAGGATAGAAGCTGCCATGGTTTCTTTTCTGTAGCAGATTGCACAGAAGATGATTTCTTCCTGAAAAAAACCCATTACAGACAAGTTTGTTGATCCAGACCAAAGAAAAATCTATGAAGCCTCCAATGCTTCTGTTGCTGATATGAAAGCGTCACTTGGTATTGGCTCATCATTGTTTCTGGCAATTGGGTATTAGAGGTGCTGACATTATTTAGAGCTGTAGATGTTCAGCATCTTTGGCCCAAAGAGGGGTTCAGAGTGGGGGCAGCCAAATGTTGACCAGCATGCTGTACCTTTTAATGTTACAAAAAAAGATACAATATAGATTTCTCTTATTTCCTACAAAAAATATTGTTACCAGACTTCATTCTTATGAGAGAAAACATTTCACCCTCTGCCATCCTTCTTCAGTGGCTACTTGTGGGTCATGTATAATTTAGCCCCTAGTCTGGATCTGTCTGAGCCTGTGGAATCTTTCAGCTGCCTGAACGTCTAACAGGGGTGTAGGTTGTAGCCATGTTGGTCTAAGGACATAGGCAGACAAGGTTCTTTGGGTGAATCTGATATCTTTTATTAGATCAACTTAAATAGATTCTTTTACTGTGAGATCAGGTTGACGGTAGCCATGAACATCTGCTTTTGAATACATATCATACCTGAGATTATGGTGCAGTGGAGTTCTTTCTGAACAGTTTCTTACAGAGATGTCCACATGAAGAGGATTCAGTCTGTGATGAGACTTGCGGTTTGTCTTTTGGTTTTGATACCCAAAGCCATATTCCTTTCTCATAGACCTAATCCCAAAGAGAGGTCTCTTTCTGGTGGGCCTCATCGTCTCCGACAAGGAAAGACATTCCGCGTATAGATAAGTCCCTGAACTCACTTTCTCCTTTCCTCTTTCCAGGTAAACCATTCAGTGGAGTCCCTGTTCTCCATCCTCAATCTCTCTCTCTCTCTCTCTCTCTCTCTTTCTCTATCTCTACCAAAAGGCTTGTAATTAGGAAACATTAGCAGGCACAAAACAGCTTTCATACCTGGAACATCATCCATAATTGCACTCAGCAGTGCTCTTCCCTGGCTATTAATGTCACTTTTATGAAGTAATGAGGAACAAAACACCCTGAGGCACTTAAAACATCTTTTTTATACAATACGAGTCTTTGTGGAATGGAAGCATAAAATAACCTGACTCACATTCCCCTGACAGAGAAAGTGATAGACAAAGACAGGGACAGACAGGGGAAAAAGATCCGTTAGAAAGGCGGGCATGAGCTTAATAGATAGAATAGATTGATAGATAGAGGGTAAGGTAGAGAGAGGTGCTACAGAAGAGGTGATGCTCAGGTGGGCCAGGGAATGGCTTGAGAGATGGATGGCTCCATTAGAGCAATGAACATATAAGGACAGATAGATGCTGTAGTGAAAAATCTAATATATTTTACTTAGTTATGTTGTATCTTGGTAGAGGTTTTCTTCACTGTGAACCTTTTCTGTGTTGCATTCTAGTGTGGGGTGCTTGCCGCACTAAACGGATGCTGCAGTCACATCTCGGTATTGTTCCAGTTTCCTGAGGTTTTCTCATGTCCACAGTAGTCCTCACTAGCTTTTCAAAACCTGTTTATCTGTGACCTTACAGCCCAATTCTTATTTGGCCTTCTCTGGGGTCAGAGTTAATTTTTTCTCTGAGGGCATTCCCAGGTGGAATCCACAAGCCTCATCATTCTGGCCAGACTTTCAGAAATGCTCAATTGTATATCGCTCTCCAAGAACACTAAAACCATTTGGACAGAGGTTTTTGACAAAATCCCCACCAAACACCAAAATAACCCAAAAGCTCTGCATATTTGGTGCATGCTAGCTGGTGGACTCTTGAAAATCTGGGCTGAACTGGGAGCTGAGCTCTTGTCCCAGACGGGCTGTATTTGCAGATTACAAACATGGCAAAAGGAATCACAAAATAAAAGCTGGTGGCAAATAAACACACCCAGCTGTGAAAGCTCCCATGAGACGGGTATAAAGCTTGAAGTATAAAGAAATGTTATTTACTACAACATGGCAAACAAAGGCATCTCTCCCAGCCTAGAGGCAGCCTGTTCCATAGGAAGAGTTTCACAAGGTGTCATGGATCATAAAGCTGTGAGAGGCTTTTAAGATTAACCTATTTGGCTTCCAACTAATTGAGATCAAAGAACCTTACTGAGTCACACCACCCAAAAGTTTTGTTAGAGCAGTAGTATATCTTTTAGAAAGATACCAAGTCATGACGTAAAGACTGATATATGGCGGTGGATCTATCACCTCCCTAGAGAAGTTGTTTTGGTGGCTAATTACCTTTGCTGTTTAAAAAAAAAAATGCCTTATATCTACTTTGAATTTGTACAGTTTCAGCATCAACCATAGGTCTTGTATTTTTTTATGTTAAATTAACAAGCTGCATCTACTAACAGAAATTGCCTCTCAGTGTGTGTACTTGTAGACTGCCATCAAGTTACTACTTAACCTTTTCTTCAGTGAACTAAAAAAGAGTCAGCTTCTTTATTCTCTCGCTTTGAGTTAATTTTTCCAGACCTTGCATGGTTTTTCTAGCACCTCTCTGAAGCTTTTTTAATTTTATAACGTCTTTTTAACATGTTGACCCCAAGACTAGATACAGTCTTCAAGGAATAGCTCACTACTGTGATATATAGAGGTAATATTTATACATGGATATAACTGGGTGGTTTGTGCCCTTAAGAGGGGGCAGCCAGCCCTGTTGAGTAACTTCAGTTGTGGAGGAGCTGCTGCTAAGGGAGTGACCCCCTGGGAACTTAGAAACCCAGCGAGGAAGGCAGAAAGAGGACTCTTAGGGAACAATTTGGAGAGAAGGAGCCAGCTGGGAATAGAACAGCCTGCTATAACAAGGGGCCAGAGCCAAGGGGTTCCTTTCTGAGTGCCCACAACAAGGTGTTAAAGTTTTTTTAATTATTTGCCTATTTGTTTGCAGTGTAAAGACTGTGTTTGAGTGGGGAGGAGTGGTTTAGTTGCTCCTTTGGGGGTAAACCCACCTGCCAAAGCCAGCACACTAAGTAAGCATCTTACAAGGGACCATAGTGGTAAAATGGCAAAATCAGTTTAAATCCAGATTACATTAAGCAGGGTCTCTTCCTGCTCCCAAACATACTTAACCAGTTAAATAATATTCTTTTTAAGTACCCACCTAATGACAGCATGATCCTAATCTTTTGTTCAACAGCTCTTAATATACATGCCTGTGGCAGGTTAGTGTAATTTCCTGGTCAGGGCAGTCCCTTTTCCTACAGAACAATAGCAACACGTATTCACATAAGAGGTGTCCAGGATATTCTGTAAGCTCTGTTGCCTTATTATGTCATAACTCATGGAAATAATTTCAGCTCTTTCTCACAGCCTGGCCCTTAAGACCTATGGATGATATCCTGTCTTCACTGAAATCAATGGGGACTTTGCCATTGACATCCATAGAGTCAGGA